TGGACAAGGATAGCATAGGAGATGAGACTCCAAAGAGAGTTGGACAGATAGAAAGATGGGACAATGAACACACACCTGTGGTGGAGAGCAGCACGTCAGTTGGTGCTGGACATGAGCTGAGCAATCGAGAAATGGAATCTTTGGGGCAGCTACCAACTGACAAAACGTCCCTGCTGTTAAACCTGAGGGAGAAGCTGACTGAGCATTCCCATCCGCTGGACTCTTCAGGGCAGAATGTATAGCATTGCCAAGAAAATGCTTTTTGAATAGATTATCCCCCCTCACCCCCGACCTTTTCTGAAAGCACCAAACCCCCTTGTGGTTGCTGTGCTAAGAGTTATGAAATTACTTCTGTATGAAGTATTTGTCACCCTCAAATTTTGATACTGAAATCAAAAGAGTATTGCTAATTACTGCCACCTCCTTTTACTTCAAACTGTGTTTTCTGTGCCACAAAATCATATTGCATTTTCCTCTGTAATATAGACCACTGGTATCTTTGTGGGTTTTTTAAATGTAAAGCTAGAAAATAATTTTAATGATTACTTTTTTAAAAAAGGAAAAGGAAAGAAACAGGTTTTTTTTAATATCTTTAATTTACAGAACCCTTCTTTTGTTGTTTGTCAGACTGAGGCCTTTTTTCCCATCTGAAGCCTCTAGTATTTTTTAGACTATGGATTAATCAGGGGTCGAGCTGTTTGTGCTGCCTTTGTTTCTCAAGCAGACATGCTTGCTTCCTCTTTGCTGCTCTCTGTCTGAGTATATGTATGCTACACAGTTATGTATGTTAGATGCTTAATCTGCCATGGGACCATGTTATCGAATTCTGGGATTTGTAGTTGGGTGAGGTATTTAGCATTTTCTGCTACATAGTTCAGGGGGAGTACCTCAGAAATCTTCAAGAGAGACTTCTACACCCCTCACTAAACTTCTAATCCCAGGATTTCGTAGGATGGAGCCATGGCAGATAAAATGGCCTCAAATTACTCTAACTCTAGTGTATCGATATTCTCTCCCTCTTCCTTGCTTATATGTGATGCTGAGGCTGTTATTTATGCAAGTCTTTCACTATAGTTTCAGAGTAAAACGTTCTCTGCAACCTGTTTCAAAGTTATTGTCCAATAAAGATTAATTTATTTTTCTGGAAAAATGCTTTTTGTTCTCTAGTTTGTGAAGGCAAGTCTATGCCCATGAATGCTGCCTGGTCCAGATGGGCAACACACACGCTTGGTTATTGCAAAAAACAAACAAACAAACAAAAATCAAAAACAAAAAACCATTTCCCCAAAATAAGACCTAACCTGAAAATAAGTCCTGATTTTTCAGGATGCTTGTAATATAAGCCCTTCCCCCCAAAATAAGCCCCAGTTGAGTGAAACCCCACCCTCCAACCGGAAGAAGATGATATGACTGTATTTGAATAAATGTAGTTTGTTGTACATGAATAAATAAATAAATAATACACCCCCTGAAAATAAGTCCTAATGCCTTTTTGGGAGACAATAATAATGTAAGACCCTGTCTTATTTTTGGGGAAACACGGTAGCAACAACCAAAAATCAACAAAAAAATGGGAATCTGGAGTGCAGGAATCTGCAAGTAATTGACTGTTTCCATCTGCTTTCCATTGCTTTTGTTAGGATAATCTGTTTTTATACGGTTTCATTATAGTTGAACACTGTCTTGTGTGAGCCAGATATAAGAAATCTGGGAGTGTTAAAACACTCTTGTACCAGCAAGCAGGTACATCTGTGACGAAGTCTAGTGACACCAAGTTCAGTGAGAAAAGCAAAGCTTTTCTATGCTTTAAAGAAAACAAGAAAAGTAAAGATCTCGGGAGAGGGCTGTGGAAGCATCCTTTAATAAACTCAGACATTCACCTTCACACCTGGCAGCCGTAATGGTAAAGGGCAGTTGAGAAACATTTTGATGAATAAATATTTCCTCTGGTTCTCAGTGACCTCTCGCTTGATGATGAGATAATATTCTCCAAAACTTGTGCAATTTTGCATGTATTTGCACACTCTGGGGGGACCTTAAAGTGGGCAATATATAAATCGGACAAATAAACAAGTAAACCAACGTACCACCCATTAAGGAGTCTTGAATTTATCTTGTGTCAACAGAGCTATTGCTGGTTTGGCCTTCAGGGATTCATGTGGGTCCCTCTAAACAAGGCTGCTGGACTGCAGCTCCCCTAGGACTTCTCCCCGTCGGCTCTGCTGGCCACGGCTGATGGGAGCTGGAGTCCAATGGCACCCTGCGGCTGGCTCTGTTCTCAGCGGGCCAACTCTAGGACTTTGTGAGGACCGAAACAGCAGCCAAAGATCTTTGGAGGAAGCGGAGGTGACATTGTATTAATGCCATTGAAAACGCATGGTGAAAGGCGTTTTGGATGACAGATAGAAGTAGCATGTAGCCTCCATTATAGAGAGAGCCTCCTGTTACAAAAATGCATAGAAAAGGCCATATTTTGATAAATGTACTAGTATGGGGCACCAAACATCCTCTTAGATGTACAAATTAAGAACCAGATTAAAAGAATGGCAATAGCATTGTCATCCACTGTTTTATTATTTATTTATTTATTTTTGAAAAAAAAATGAATCAGGTAATCTTGCTGGATTTTGTTAGATTACGACAATAAATAGTGGTTCTTTCACTGCTGCTTTTTATTATGGACACTGAGCTTTTGTTAGATGCTTAAAATGTAAAATGTGTTAATAAGCATTTTCAGACGTTAACTAAAGCCGCTCAGAGTGGTCGTATAGACCAGTTGAGCGGAATACAAATCAAATCAAATAAATAAATAAAATAAATCTCGGGGAGGGGGGCGCCATTTCCCCCCCCTCCCCTCCCCGAGATTTATTTTATTTTATTTTATTTATTTGATTGGTATCCTGCTCATCTGGTCGATA